AGGACGAGTTGCAGGCGAGGGTACGTGGGGTAGGGCTGTGTACCTGTACAGGTACAGGGTCCGGACCTCAACACCTGGTGTACCTCAACAAGTGAAACCACTGGACACTAAATGTAAGACTGAAAAAATGTTCGCCAAATTAGCACTAAAGATGAAAATATTAGATACTAAAAAATCTTCTTTAGAAATTTATCTAAAAGTTTTAAAAGCTATCTATACTATCTAACCAAAGGATTTATAAAAGAACGTTACAGGATTGACGGTTTAACTTAAATATCAAATTTAAAAGTCACTAACTAAACAAAAGACCGCCCGTGACAAGACGTGGAGTTGTGTCCGCTGTCCGGTTGTTGGTGGGTCATTATTCCTGACTGGGGAGGCAGAAGCCTGAAGAAGGCGGGATTTCCGCCGGGTTTGGTCCCGCCTCCAACAACACTTTTCTCTACATCAAAATAAACATTAGGAAAAATAAACAAACACTTGAGCTTTCTTTCACTAGTCCTGCAAAATTATATACTTCCGTCATTCTGCCTCATAAATATGAACTAAATGTAATGTAGTAGATGAAAATACGCTAATAGCTGCCTGTGTATAAAATGTGTAGGTCTCTGGGTTTGGTTAAGCTGTTAACATTATACAGTTCTTTACACTTAATCGTTGTCACGCAATCTGTGTGCAAACTTTCCTGCTTCCTTGTGGGGCATTTCACATCCTTACATACAGATATTTCAGTGGGGCATTCGTATTGTAGCACTGTCCTGTTTTCAGCAAATAAAGACTGAATTTGTGCCTAGATTTTAAGGTTTTGTGGAACATACATACATTTTCTTACAACCAAAAACAAGATGTCCCCAAATCTGATTCAGTATCAAAACCGATGTCTGATTTAGTACAGCTTCATATACTTATAAGAATCTTCAGGGATGTTCTCCTCTACTTTACGTTCCAAATTTGCTGTTTCTTTTTGGAGGGTATAAAAAAAAATCCATATCCAGATACCTTAATACGGTCTATATGGATATAGATCTTTAAAATTTGTACCTCAAACTTTGAAGGGTTTTTAAGAAGATAATCTTCTCACAACCAAGAATTTGGTTTTCCCCGAATCAGCATCAAAACGGGGGGGGGTCTCTGTCTCGGGGGGGGGTCTCTGAAGGTTTTCGTTTACTTTTCGTCGGTCCTGATATACAGGTATTTCACTACAGGAATTTGTGCCTCAACGTTGAGGGTTTTTTAAACAAGATAATCTTCTTGCAACCAAGGACAAGTCCAGGGTTTCTCCAAACCTGTTTCGAAACAGGGAAATCTGCGGGTGTCCTAGTATTAGACACCTTCAATAGCTTAGAAGGATCAGAAAGCTCCTTTGTCAAGTTAGTTACAGCATAAAGGTGTAACATGTAGTTTCATCCTTGGGGGGGGGGTAAAACTGGCGTCAGGACTTGGCTACGGAGGAGAGACGTGTAGAAGGAAAGACGCAGAAGAACGGAACGAAAGAAACATTGTCATATGGTAGAAGAAGGGTTAGGATCAGGCACGCTTCTGAATACTCTTCGCGTATCCAAGAGTGTAGATTTGCCACAGTACAGTTCTGGATACGCGTGGACCATCCAGAACCGTGCCTGAGCATGGCTCCTGTCCTGCCGTACCTTCAGGCACCAGTTTGCTGGTTGCGAGACGTTGAAGGCCTCCGCTGCCTCCAGCAGCTTTAGTGCAGAGCCGGTGGGTTCGCCGTGCACGTTCAGGGCGTCTTCCGCGCCGTCCAAGGCGGCCTGGGGGGACACGAGAACAAGTCGCTAAACATCTATACAGGTAGCACAGCAAGCAAATAGATAAACAAACCTACAACTGTTTAGCGTATTTGTGACCCCAGGCAGATTTACTAGGACTGTAGGTTTGAGAAGTTATCAGGACTTCTATCTACTAGTATAACATATTGTTATATTTTGTCTGACTCTCATGACGTCCCTGGGAAATTTTCAGCAGACTGACTTGAGTTAAAAATTTCATCAATAAACAAACAAACAGATAAACAAACAAACAAACAAACCTGGTACAGCATGGCGTTGACACTGAAGCCGGGCTGTGAGCGGGCGGGGCGGCGGCGGCTCGGCTGGTCTTGTGCCGGCATCTGTCTCCCCAGCCTTCCCAAACCCTTCCGCACGGAGAGGAACAACAACCGTTCCCGTAAATATCAACAGGATCGGGAATAAAAAACGTCTTTTCTATCATCAAACCGTCCGCAGATTAAAACATCAGGTTCAGGTAGTTTCTGTAGACACCGTACGGACGTACCGACACCACCAGGTTTATAGTACAGTAAATGTCTTCGACACTGAAGACCTCTCGAGAAAACAAACAAACAAACACTGGGGGAAAACTTCAATCAAAATACCAAAAGTTCTACCCCCCAAAAACACAGAATAATAGCGAACAACGTTCAGTGATAAAAAGTAGACAACATCCCAAACTAACAGGTTGTCTGTTTGTTGGCACGGAAGATAGCAGGACGGTAGAGGTACACTAAAGTTTCCGAATGTCAGGGTTAATCTGAACCAACGTTCAGCACGGAGGAAAACAGAAGATTTTGGCGGCAAGTTTTACCGTGATGAAGTCCCAGCCGGGACCTTCTGCGGGGATGTGGAGCCCCCTAGCGGGCAGCACCTGTGATGACAGGGACAGACATCTGGTGAATAGCTTTGCTAGCGTCGCCATCGTATATACGAAGAGCGGCTGATTTTTGCTGCCGTTCTCTGTGACATCGAGGCGGTTGTGTTGACGGGTCGGCGCGTCGCTATGGAACATCTCCCGGCGGCCTCATTGTTCCAGAACCGCGTCATAAACACAGGCGGCGGCGGGAAGAACAAAATCAGATCTTCCATCTTATACACACAAACACACATACAGAACATACAAACATGTACACAAACACACATACAGAACACACAGGGTTGGCAATGGAAGGGATGGTTTGAGATTTTGACCATGTAGAAACGAGTCTGAAATGGCGGATATTGTTCAGTACGGCATTAACTTATTGGCTAAGCTAACGTTAACGTTACTGTGTGGTTAGTTTATGTTTGAAAAGAGAACAAAGTATGACGCTTCTGGACTAGTGCAGAGATTGGTTCTTTCTAAAAATGTTCTGATTTACTCATAAATGAACTATGGACTGGAAGGGTTTAACACCATACCTAACGTAGCCTGCGCCGCGAGAGAAAAAAAGACGGCAAAACGGCCGGCTCTGTCCTTGGTGCTGAACTCACTGTCCTGACGGACAGGTTCTGTTTATAACCAGATTCAGCAGGAACGCTGCAGTTCTCACATTGTCGCTTGAGGGAGTGCCTGGGATTACATCGTTACGTAAACTGTTGTACCGGCTATACAGATACAGATGTCAGATAGAGAAGCTGGTGTGTTGCACCGTGGGGCTGTTCTACCGGCTATATAGACACAAATTCGTACACGGACGCTCCTGTAGGCTTTTTCCAGGAAAACTGCTACAGACAGGCTAAATCTAAAGGTTTTTTTGTCGTCACGGATCCGGAGTTGAAGCCTTGTTCGTTTCTCCCTAAGCTGGTGTGTTGCGCTGAGGGGCTGTTATACCGGCTATACAGAAACACGGACGCTGCCTACGCTTTTTAGGAGAACTGCTAGAGACAACCAGGTGAAAACAAGTCTTCCAGCCAACGCCGCCAAAGGTTTTCCTCGCGAAGTTGAAGCCTGGTTTGTATCTCCGACACGATGAGAGTCCGTAGGCGGAGTGATATGCTGTGGCTGACGGTCCCGATGATGACCGTGGTCGGGACGGTCCTCGTGCTGCTGGCACCGGGCGGGCGGGAGATTCCTTCGGGCGGAGGAGCGCGGAGCCCCGACAAAGGTGGGTGGCACTCACGGTCTAACTCTCTACCTGGTGTTATCGTATCTATCTACCTGGTGTGACCTTACAATAGAAAAACTATGTAAATTTATCTCCAATTGCTTTAAAAAGAGAGGAGAAATGTCTGTATCTTCATATCAACAAAATGGAAGAAGCTATAACCTTTTTTTTTTTTCAACCTTTATTTATCCCTGAAAATGTACAGTATGTAACAGTACCACTCTTCGGCCTGAGCCGCTTTTCAAGAGGTCAAGGGGAGGCAAGTCAGGGGTCTTTTACAAATGCTTAGGTTCAGTTACAATATTAAATCAGTCATAGAAATACAATATAAATACATACAAGTCCATACAAAATTCAAACATTATCTCGATTCATATCTTATCAGTATCAAACATCCAAGTTTTATTTCACAAATTATAGTCGTTCTGAGTGACTCGACGCAGTTGGTTTTTAAGACCATAAGACCATACCAAGCCTATTCTTTCACTTAGACACAGCCTTAAGCCTTGACACATAAACCCTCTTTATTACACAATCGCGTATAATCAAGATAATCACACTCCAGTATTAAATACGTGTGAGGTAATTGATATACTAGTATCTAATCCCCTGGGTTATCACTCAAAATACAAATGCACGAACCTTTATTTATCTTTTTATTTTAATTAGCACATACGTAGTACATAATGAAAAATTATACAAAATAACACAAAGGAAATAAATGTACAAGGGGAGGAGGAAAAGCCACAATGGCTTATTTAAAGTCCTCCCCTTCATGATTTTACAATTTCTACAGGTTATTAAATGAGATATAAATAACAACCTTTCTGCATGTAAATATCAGAAGCTTTATAAAACGTAGTGTTTTCAGATTAATTCGTGGTCTGTACTGAAATTAATTCAAAGGGACATCTTTGTCTTTTAAGTATGATAATCCCTCAGGGAATCAACTCTTGTGATTGAATCCTATTTAATTAATAAAGGATTTGCCAGGAACGTTTGTTATTGTATCCAGAGCCGTGCCTATATAGTTCCTGTGCTGAATGGATCAGGCACGGTTCTGGATAGTCTCCGCAGATCCAAGAACGTAGGCTTGCCCCAGGCACGATTCTGGATACGCGTAAACCATCCAGAACCGTGCCTGAGCATAGCTGTAGATAAAGAACGGTTCTGCATACGAGTATAAGACGTCCGTTTGCTCCGGTGGCTGTGACTTTGGCTGTGCGTGAATGGTTCTGGATAAAGCACGGTTCTGTAGACAACAAGAGTTTAACCCAGGTAGTTTTAGAGCTGTGGAATGCAGCAAATATGTCTCAGCATATAGATTGGTGGTACCCAAACGGTGCACCGGGCCACAGCACACATCAAACACACAGTTAGATTGGAGTGGTTCCCCCAGACTGATCAGGTTAGTTCAGCCGCGGACGTCGATGTTCATTTAGCAAATTGGAGCAGGACGGGGGAGTCGGAGATGGGGGGGGTTAATTTGGCTCGGAGCCGGTTTTTGCGG